TACCTTGACAATAACAGGCCTGTTAAATTATAGCTCTATACATGTGGAGGTAAAACGGCTGGCTGTGCTTAGCACACATTAATCTATGCCTGTTCACACAAGTGCTTCTGCTGAGCAGGTAGCATGTTTAAACAAGAAATACTGGTCTTAAAACCTCTGATTTATGGTAGGTGTTTTGACACAGCATCATTCAGGCGATTTACAAGGCACGGCTTCGTGTTAAAATATCTCACCGGAGTCACCATTTGGCACCAACATAAATATTCAGCAATGGTGCTGGAAACGGGCGAGATGCCCGTCGGTGCCAGATCTTCCCCTGTGTTTCCTTTTAAGTGAGATCTGCTGTGGATATGGATACAAGAGATGGCGCTCTCCCTTCCTTGAGAGCAGATGAGCTGCAAGAAGTTGGAAATAAGAATCACAGCATCCTGACAGCTCCCGTGGATGGACTCATCCTGCCCACATTGCCTCTAATTCTGGCATAAGGCCTATGGGTTAAAAAAAAAAAAAAACCCTTTTCTTGCTTTATATGCATTGTAAAGAATATATTTACATGTACATGAGTTAAGTAAAGAGGCCTTTTCTGTTCAAAGGAAGAAGTTAGTCATCGTTAGAAAAGCTTTGTTGCAAAACAAAAACACACATTCCTGTCTCCTTTTTTCCTCGTTACTAATAACAAACGTGAGTGAGTACAAAAGGATTACATAAAAGATCGCGTTAATCACCGTGATCCTCAATAGCCACATAAATATTATTTTTTCTGGTTTGAATGAAATAGCTAATGGTTTGAAATAGGTGTGGCAATTAATTCCTGTCAAGTTGTCACGTATTAAAAATAATGTTTTTTTCACATAACAATGGTTATATGTACTTAACCTCTTATCGGGGGTGATATTAAGTGATATTTTATGGGCGTTGCCCATTTACTGCTAATAGCATAATAAAAGCCTTTGTTACGAGTTTAAATAGTTACATAGTTACATCCATTTGATTGCTGTTGTTATTTCATTGGTGATCTCTCTAAATGAGATGATTATAGTACTTTTCTACAGCTGGTAAATATTACACTGTTTTAGTGTATGTTTTAAAATCTGCTAGAATGTTTAGAATGTTCATATTGCTCTTTATTTGTGTTTTTCTCCGTAATAAATTGGGCGTGGAAATACTGGCAACTTAGTAACACACACACACACACACACATACACACACACACCAGAGAAGAGAGAGAGAGAGAGAGAGAGAGAGAGAGAGAGAGAGCGCACTTTGTATTCACAGTTGTCTAGTAGAACATTTAAAACATAAGATTTGGGAAGCTGCTACCTTGTTCAAAATGATGATTGTGTTGTATTTCAGAAGGTTACAAGGATGACATTTTCCTTAATTATTTCAAATTGTTTTTCACTAAGGCATATATTAACTGTTTACATGCATGTTTATATTTCATCCTTTTTCCCTCCATCATAAATGTTATTCTTCATTTTGCAATGAGTAAACTTGGGGGAAAAAATCTCAATATTGGCATTATTGAGCCTGTGACATTTTATCTCACATAAAGTATAAATTTTTTGTCTTCTATCCAGTTTACCACAGTTTTTGTCAAAATGATAGTTACCCTTTATAGCAACTTTATATTTAGTATCTGTGTGTAATGCTAGCCTTGTGAATCTCTCTTCTCTGAAGGTAGATAGTTCTATGCCTATGATGTTAAAAGTGTGTATACTCAGAGACATCCAATGATTTGGAATCTGTGCTGTTTAAATTTCCAGCTATTTTAAAGCTAGGCATGTGGGCCCTCCTTGGCCTTTGCCATCTGGGATTGGAAGTGCAAGGTCCTTCAGTGCTGTACTCAGAGATATTCCTCCCTGATGTTAGTTCTAGAGCCAGAAATGCTTTAAGCAAAGAGTGTATTGAGGAATGCTCATAACGCCTCTGCTTTTGTGCAGCGTTTCCAGAGAAAACAGGTTGGAGTTCTGTCCCAAGTTCATCATGGATAAATAAGGGGCTATGGAGAGACTGGCTGGGATACAGCGTAGTATGGGGCATTGCGTGCAAGTCAGTAAGGACTTACTAGGCTAGAGTTCTGTTTGCTTGCTGTTCGTTTCTTATAGCTAATCATGTGTGTACTACCCAGGCCTTGTGTTGGCTTTGCGCTTCCTGCTGTCTTCAAACTTATCTGTTATTTTATCACCGCATTTCCCAGACTGGAGAGCGGACACTTTGTACTCGATGAGTAAACACATACTGGTTTGATAGAGCTAAAGCTTCGTAGGTGCGGTCTCATCTCCCCAAACTACACCCTGAGAGAACAATGGAGTTTGACGGTGATTAGAATGAGACCGCAGCCTTTTGTTTTATAGTTAGCATATATATGGAATTTAGCTCTGCTTTCCTAAGAGTGGCTGACAATAGATCACAGTAGACCTGAGTAGGAGGACACAGACGGAAAAGCCAGCGCTGGTTCTTCAGAAGCTGTGATTCATGAGCTGTGATCAGGTTCTCTAGATGTTTACCAACTGAGGAAGAGGAATGGTCAAACTCCTAATAAGTTCTCTGAGGCTTCAGTGTCCCCTGGAAGGGGACTTTTAGCCGTTCCAAAGCTTGGGGCTTAGGTGCTTTCATAGTTATATTTTATAAAATGTGTAGCTCCAAGAAACAGGTGAAAACACATCCGTTTTAAGACTTCACAGATGTGTTCGAGCTGTGGTAAGTGGGAGGTTGAGGCAGGCTGAGGGGATCTCATGCTCCAGTCTGGAGGGGACTCGGACCTGTGACTACTTCAGTTCCTTCGTCTTTGTCCTCCAACAAGTGAGAAGAGGAGTTTCTTTCCTCCTCAGCATTTATTGCTCATTTTCTATGGTCACTATTAAACCTTGTCTTCATAGGCATTTGCAAGCCTGAATAACCACAGACAACAGATTATCTTTTAAAAGCATAAAAGTAAGCCAGATACCGTCTTGCAGCACTGTTTTTTGATTCTGTGTAGAACTGACACAACTGGAAATTTCCATAGTTGTGGATGGAGATCTAGATTCACACAGACCCCTAACTTACTTTCATCCACGAGTTGACTCAAGAGTGAATCTCTTCAGCATCCGGGACATCAGTGACTGGCTCTGATGTCATAAGATTTCTAAAAGTTCTTCTCCTGGTACTTCAGGGTGAATTGTTTTCAAACCGGAATCACGCTGGTGGAAGGATGGAGTGTGCAAACTTGAGCACACGGTTCTGTGTTTAAGATCACAATTGCTGAGTTATAGCAGACTCAGAAGTCTCTACTCTGATCCAGACCCTTTCCTGACACACCAGAGAAGTCACCATGCTACAGCTCAACCCAGGAACCGGGCAGGGGTGTTCAGAGTTTCCCTTTATGAAGACTTATGTGTACTCTGTGCCTTCTAGAAGTCTCGACAGGAAATAGAATATAAGCAATGATATTTTCTCTCTTAGTAATATTATCTTGCAATCAGCCATAATCCATCGAGTGTTCTCATTCTTGGAAACCAGGATTAATCTTTGAGGAAAAAAAAATCCACATCTTTAAGTAGAAACCCTTTAATATCTAGAAGAAAGACTCGACAAGCTTCAAAGTGCAGTTTGAGTGGAAGTTTATTAAAATGCTGTGGTTGTGTAGAAAGCTATCGCAGAATCAGGTTCTCCGGTCTGGAAATTCTTTGCTTTCATTTCTTTCTTTCTTTTTTTTCTTACATTTGCATTTTAATAGATTATATCACGTGGGCAAATGTTTCAACCACCTGAACACCTGGAAAGTCTATTTTAGACTTGTTCTGGGTGTTTGGAAATCTTTAGCCAGACGTTATTCAGCATGCAGTCAGTCTCATTATGGTGGGAAAATCCTGCCTGCAGGTCTGCCTTTGCAGGAAAGTGGAGCACAGTGCAGCTTGTCCTGAAAGCATCCTTAGAAAAGGTAGTTCATCCCCTCTCCCTCACTTTGGGATTAGTGGATAGTTTGGATTTCACTCTGAACTTGAAGTAGAAGTTTAGAGGTTTTTGATTCAATGGCTGGATTCCTTCTGTGCTCAGTGAAGCCTATGATCTGATATAGAGATCTGATGACCAGTTAAGAACAGCAGCACCCATACCTGTGGCTCTGAGACATTTGCAAAGATACTTCGGTGTCAGGGTATTTGTTCTGGTGTATATTTTGTCACAAGTAATTGCACACACGTAGATCTTCTGTGCTTTATGGCATAGTCAGAACTGTGGTTAACATGTTTTTATTACTTTCAAGTGCTTAGTAGAAGAAACAACCCTGTCTCCAAACAGAACGAAACAGAACAGAGCAAGCAAAGTAGAAGCCCAGGGAAACATTGCATTCTGTAAGTCATCATTACCAATTTAAAAGGGGGCTGGAGCGATGGCTCTGCAGTTGACAGCATCGGTGGCTCCTGTGGAGGACCTGGGATTGGTTTCCAGCAGATCTCTGTGTGTGAGTCACAAACCTCTCTGACTCCAGTTCTAGGGTATTCAGTGCTTGCTTCTGACCCCTGCAGGTGTTGATTGCATACATGCAGGCCAAACACTCATAAACATAACATTTCTAGATAATTAAAAGAAAAAAAATTTCTTCTGTTAGAGTCACAATGGCCTAGAATCATGAAATTAATTTGGGACAGGGCAGTGTGTGGACTGTGAATTTATTTTTCCTTTTGGAGAACAAGATAGTATTAACATCTTAAAAACCGTACCTCATGCTAGTTAGTATACATATCTCTGATCTTATTTTTTATCATAAAGATGAAAGTTAAACATGGTTTTGTGTGTCCCACCAATCTGGTATACCATAGACTGAAGTTCTCATCAGTAACAACTTCGCCCCTTTTCGTCTGTCTGTCTGTCTGTCTGTCTGTCTGTTTTTCCTGTTTGTTTGTTTGTTTGTTTGAGATAGGGTTTTTCTGTGTAGCCCTGGCTGTCCTGGAACAGATTTATTGAACTCACAGAGATCTGCCTGCCTCTGCCTCCTGAGTGCTGGGATTAAAGAAAAAAACACGGACCACTTCATGAATTTGCACATCCTTTTTGTACAGGGGCCATGTTGATCTCTGTATCACTCCAACTTTAGCATATGTGCTGGCAAAGCAAGCACATGGTGTCAACTTTTCAAAGCTGGTCTTAATGTGGCCATGTTTGTGGGAGGAAAGGTGACCCATTCCTTGTGGTGGTGATTATGTGGTGGGTACTGAAAAGTCATTCTCCCTTGACTTTCAGACTAAATAAGTGGGTGTTGACATCACCAGCCAGAGCCAGGAGAGGGGGCTCTGTGTGATGTAGACATCAGGGGTTATCACAAATTCACATCAACTCCTGTTTCTTCAGGAGTCATCCAGTCTTTAGTCCAGGCAAGTAGATTCAGTGCTTCTCCTCCATTAAGGAATTCAAGAACTCTTTAATGGAGTGGAAAGCTTCAGCTCTCCTCGATGCCGTATTGTCTGAGCGTTCTTCGTTCATACTCCAGATGCTGTCGGGGATTAAAGCTATTTAATTGACTTAACTTTCAGGAATTTTTCCAGGGTGTTCTTTGTTAGAATTACTAAGTGCTAAGATGAGAGGTCAGAGTGTGAGCTTTTGTGCTGCAGAACTGGGCACCTCGTAGTTTTGGATAGAGTTCGTGCAACATCTTTTAACCCCTTAGTTCTCACGGCGGCTTTGGATTGGGCGTCAGAGTTGACAGAACTCTGGCTGTCGACTAGGATACTCTGGGTAGAAGCAGCTGTCTTCAGCAGCACTCCTCTTCCTGTGCGTGTGTGAGATTTTGTTTCTCACGATACCGTGTGTTTTATATTGTTCCCTGCTAGTAAAGGGATATAAGACAGAAAGTTTGGAAATGAACCGATAGGTAGGTTTACCCAGCAGGAACTGCAATGGCCCCTCCTTTATTTCCCTGTGCTGGTTGTGAACCAAGGTAGCCTGTGGTAAAGAATATAACTTTACCACATGGGATTGATAAGAAACCACCCCCTCGTGTGTGTGTGTGTGTGTGTGTGTGTGTGTGTGTGTGTGTATGTGTGTGTGTATGTATGTGTATGAGCACACCCATATGTGTATGTGTGTGATATAAGACAGCGCTTGTCACATAGGTGATTAACATTGATTGAATTTTTTTGACTGTATAAATGACACGATAAAATTTTAGTTTTTCTACCTGATTTACAAATTCTGAATCAGTATCGTCGATAGATAGCTTAGTTATTTTTCTGTTACTGTGATACAACACCCGAACCGCCAGCAACTTAGGGAAGAGTGAGTTGATTCTGACGTATGGGTCCAGAGGTGTGTTTGTCATGGAGTGGGGAGGAGCGTGGCAACCAGCAGCAGAGGGGGCGTGGCAGCCGGAACAGGAAGCGGAGAGCTCAAGTCCTCAAAGGCGGGGCTATCCTCAAAGACGCGGAAGTGGCTATGATTTAAATAATCAAGGCCCACCGCCCCAGTGACTACTTCCTCCCCAAACAATGCCACCAGCTAGGGACCAAGTGTTCAAATCCCTGGGTCTGTTTTAGACATTTTTCTTTGAAACCATTATACGAGTTTCGGTAAGTTTGCAGTAAGCGTGTTGTCTTGGCTTTGTGGAGAAGCAGATAAATCACCTACGAAGAACAAGCCTCAAACAAAACCAGTATTGTGTGGCTTTGTTTCTTGGCGTGTTTTGTTTTTGTTTTTGTTTTCAGTGGGGCTTAGTTTCATTCCAGAGTTCATTTTAGACTTAATTTGGTTTTACAATGAGAGCTCAATTTTGCATGTAAGTACCAAACATCTGGTTTACTTTTTGTTTGAAAATGATACGGCTGAAGTTCAGTACAGAAGTCTATTTGTAATTAAGGAAAGACAGTTTGAAATTCTATAAATTAAGTTCTATTTAAATGGTACTTTGGAATTATTCCAGGTAAGTGGATGGTTGTACTTCGTTGGAGTAGGAGAAACTTATTTTTTTTTTTAATGCTATTGCCGGTCAAAATGTAGAACTTCCATGTATTCACCTTTTGCAAATAGCGTGAAAAATGACAAATTTCACAAGTGAAATTTAAAGTTGACCCAAGGCAGTTTTAGATTGTTGAGCCTTCAAATTTTATTCATGGGATGTTTTTAGAGACATTCTGTGGTTTGTTCACTCCAGTTAATTCTGGGCAATCCTTCTACATTTCTGTCAGGTGGACATTCTGATACTTCAAAACTTCCTCTTGCGCAAAATACGGCTACGGCAGCCTGAGAAGAAAATGAGATTTCTAGTTGGTTCTTCGAAGCCTTGGGTTATCTTTTTAGAACATTGAAAGGTGTAATAAATCAAACAGGATGAATATAACTTTCTACTATGTCGACTGCCCCATTAGCATTAATAAACCAACAATTTAAATTCCGTAAATTACTGGCTGGTTCTAATACCCTTGAGAGATATCCAGATAGGTAGCTTTGGGTGGAGAAACCTAACAGAAAAGTTCTTGCTGTTTTATGGCAAGTACTAGGGGTGTGTCTGCAGGTGGGGAGCCCCTGGCCAGTCCCTTCAAGAGGGGAGTCAACATTAGTCGTGTCAGAGTCTCCTCCATGCCGGACTCTGTGCTGACATTTGGTGACCCTGCCACACTATAGGATCTGTTTAGAAATAATTGGAAAGAAGTTTTTTTAACTGAAACAAAAAACTAAGAACCCTCCCCCCTACAAAAAAAAAAAAAAAGCCCAGAGATTATGGAAAGATACTGAAAGGTTTCAGAGCATTTCTTTACCCACTCCTTTGATGTCTCAGAGATCAGTCATATGACAGGTTGTGTCTGTTGGCAGTTAAAAATCAAGCTTCTTATCAAACTGGATCAGCCAAGAGTGGGACAGATTTGGCCTCCTTCCCTGTGTCCTGTCACTGAGTGGCAGCGTCGTTCATTTATTTTGGCAACTTAAACTTTTCCAAATGTTGTCAGTTTCATTATCTCCCTTCACCTGCTATCGTAACAGTGAAAACAGAAAACAAAACTCCCGCCTCCCGAATGTCTGCCATGTGGGTCCCCAATTCCCCTTGTCCTTGTGTCCAGGCGTCTTGGTTCTGTCCCCATCAATTTATGTGTAAGTTGAAATAAAAGCTTAAAGAACAAGATTCTCCTGAATCGTTGATTAGAGTGAGAATTTCAGCTCAACATTTACTAACCTCTCAGTATGTCTGTGTCCTGGGAATTTTGCAGAAGGTACCTGGATAGTGTATTCTCTGTTCTCCACGGACATCTTCTTTCTATTTATTTTGGGCATGTATCATGTGTGGTGTATGTACCTGTTTGTGTCTGTGTGGTAGAGTGTGGGTACTGGTTAGAGGTCAATCACTATCTTATATTTTGAGACAGTCTTTCACCACACCTGGAGCTCACCCATTGGGTGACATTGTCTGGCCAGTAAGCCCCAGGGGTGCATGTGTCTCTGCCTTACCACACCCTCCTACTGATGCTAGAGTTACTGATGCAAAGCACTGTGCTTGGCTTTTACATGGGTGCTGAGGACCTGAAGGCCACTCCTCGTGCCTGACTGACAGGTGCTTTAGTGCCCAAAAGTCTCAGCACCTCCTGTGTTCACTTTCTAAAGATGTGTTACTAAGACCTGTGGATTACCATGTTCAAACTGGAGTAACATTTTGCTTTTCGGGTAACAATTAAATTATTTCTTCTAATTGATGATGGACATCATAGCAATCAGAAATATAGTAAGTTGTGTGGTCTCAGCAGTCTGCCACTTGCCCACTAGGAATCTAACAGGATGTGTTAGAATGTGATGTGTTTGTTGAAATTACAAAGTCTAGCTTGAGTCTGGTGTGAAAGTGAGTGAAAGGTATCTCAACTTCGCCATTCTTGCTTTCCTTATTCTGTTTAGTCAACTTATTTTTGCTTTCTTGTTTGTATCCAATCTTTGAAAAGATTTATATTTGGAAATGAATTATTCCCAAAACTATGAGAGAAAGAAAACTCTGTCTTGGAGGAAGGTCTACTGTTTATGAATGACAGCTAACAACTTCTGTCTCATGCCTCTTCATTTTCTGGAGGTCATTTCCCAGTATATATATCCAACCTCTGTGTGTGTGTCTGTGTGTGTGTGTGTGTGTGTCTGTGTCTGTGACTGTGCACGCATGGTACATGCCAGGGCACACAGCCAGATCTTACTGTACTGCCTTGACCACACTTGGATGTGTTGACTGGGATGGTCCTACTATGAACTCCAGGTATATGCCACCATGCCCAGATTTTTTATGACTTTAACGTTTTTGTAACTTTATGACCAAGCAACACATTAGAAAAGTGTTAGCTCTGAGATGTATAACATTTAGTATTGCAGAGGTAACTTGAAATCACGCTTACAATACTGAGAAGCTCTTTTTTAAATTTTTTTTTTCTGAGCTGCATTTTTGAGTGGGAACCCTGGAATGTTTGTTGTGAAATTCTTTAAAATATAGACATAGAACACAAAGTTTGGTGACTCATACCTGTAATCCCAGCACTTGAAGAGCTAAAGCAGGAGTGCTGCCTGGGTTCAGGGCCAGCCGCTTGCGTGCGTGCGTGCGTGCGTGCGTGCGTGCGTGCGTGTGCGTGCGTAGAGATCAGGGTGAAGGAAACAGGAAAAAATTCTAAAGTCATTTTAAAGTGTTGTCATTAGTTGTTCTGAAACATCTATAAAGATAAATTAAGCACAATCACATATTCATCTAGAGCCCTTAGTGGGCTATTAGAGATTCAGTGTAATGTTTAATAGGGTTAATTTTCATAGCTTATTATATTTATTTATTTTGTATTATGTGGGGTGCGTGTGGAGTTCATGAGATAACTTCCAGTTCTTGGCGCTCTCTTTTCATCATGTAGGTCCTGGGGTCTGAACTCAGGTCCTCAGGTTTAGTGGCAAACGCCTGTCCCCACAAAATGGAGATTTCAGAAGGTCCTTATAGAAGAACTGAGATCAAATGCTTGTGGCAGTTTTGGGTATTCCATCTGCCTGTTCTCTAGATCAATAGAAACGGGAGAAAGACGGGGTGAGCTCATTTGCCGGCCCGGTCAGGGTGAACCTCGTTTGTGCAGATATTTTGATGTCAGACTTGGGGGCACCCGGGCTCATGGCGATGGCTCACACACA